ATTTGGCTACCTTGCTTGTCTGCAGCAGCAAAAAGTTGTTCTAGATTCTTATCCTATGTTCTTATTTAAGCCTTCAGAATAATTTAGCTCACCCTCTCCCACGAATACACCGAGACATCCACAGACCCACCCAATCACTCAGAACACCTGCTGATCTTTGACAGAATGTCGCCTACTTCAAATGACAAAATTCCTCACAAAATCTAGTAGGAGGAAAAAAAGAGAAGAAAAAGGCAATTCAGGTGGGACCTGTCCTGCAGGGAGGGAGCGGCAAAGGAGGAATAGTGCTCTTATGCTGGGACGCCCCCCCCCCAATGGAGAGGGCAGTGGGATGGGGCAGGGGGATCCTCCGAGGCTTGGAGGAGTGCACAGCAGCTGCCTCGCCAACAGAACTGAGAGAAACCAGCACAAAAGGTCCTTGCGATCTCCAGCCCTAGATGTGAGCTGGTGTGGGTGGGCTGGGGCTGGCTGCCCAAGCCAGGTGGAGGGCTGAAGCTGACTGCGCAGAGGCAGCCTCATGGTGCTGGAGTGTGTTGTGGGCCGTGGCTGGGAGTATATACAGAAAGGAATAGCCTGGGTCCCCATTAACCCAGATGGGCCAGAGCCACTGCCTCTGCAGGCCTGTGGCACCATTGCAGGTGTGTAATCAGGGGGGAAGAGGTGGGACACAGCCATTGCCACCATATTCACTGGTGCATGGCTCCCAGGTGGAGATGGGGCTGAAACCTGAATCCACACCCAGGGGCTCTGCAACTTCATAGGTGGGACTGAGATTTGTTTACAGTCCCAGGCAAAGGGGGCTGATTTGCTCCCCAGGTGCCTTTGTGGACCCGTGCCTCTAAGACAAACAAGGAGTAGAGTTCTGGCACACAGCGGGGGTGAGTGCAGGACAACGTTTTCAGCAGACCTGCCTACAGTACATGGACGAGGCACTGGGGACAGGACAGACTAGGTGGCATGCCATGGATCCAGGTGTATGACTGTGTGATCTTTACAACGGACCCAGATGTCGGTGGATCTGCACTGATAGCTCTGAGGGTAACCACAAGTCAAAAGCACACAACAGAATCACAAAAACCAAAAAGAAATCAAGATAATACAAAAGAAAATAATCAAACCACAAGAAGAAAAAGGAACAAAGAGGAAATACCAAATCAACTGGAAAATTAAGTTCAAAATGGCAATAAACACACATCAATCAATAATTACCATAAGTGTCAATGGAAAAAAATGCTCCAATCAAAAGACAGAGTGGCAGACTGGATAATAAAAACAAGAGCCTAAAATATGTTGTCTACAAAGACCTACTTTAGGGTGAAAGACACATGTAGATTGAAAGTGAGAGGATGGAAAAAGATTTTATGCAAATGGAAACAACAAGAAAGTGAAAGTAGAAATAGGTATCAGAGAAAACAGACTTTAAAACAAAGGCCATAGAAAAATACATATATATTGATTACTATATAATGGTGAAAGGAGCAATACAAGATGAAGATATTACACTTCTTAACATACATGCACCCAATATAGGAGCACCTAAATACATAAAGACATAAATACTAACAGACATAAAGGGAGAAATTGATGGGAACACAATCATAGTAGGAGATTTTAACACCCCATTAATATCACTGGACAGATCTTTTAAACAGAAAATCAATAAGGCAACAGGAGATACTAAATAGAC